AAGGAATAGGATCTCCAAGGACCAAAATATCTAAATAAAGAAATAATTTACCGTATTTAATTAACCATTAGACGTATATATTTGCGGCAAACTTGTAAGAATTGTTAGAACGATTGAACTATTTCGGATGTCGAATATACCAGCTATAATACTGGGAAGACAATCTGCCCAATCTCATGATTGACTCTGATGAAAGGCCTTGACTAGCTAGGTCAGTAGCTCTACCTATCCTTAAACTGTGAGTTTTTTAAAGCATTTTTTATAAAAAAAAGTCTGCTGCTTGAATGCACATATTCGAAACAGCCGAATATTGACCCCTTGTCATTAGTAAACCATCGCGTGTATGAAAATTGGGCCTTGCACGGTAGACATTTAAGCTAAGAAATGTTGCAAAGCATGAACAGGGCAGACGGAAATTTTGCCCATCGGTATCTTTAATTTAAGTTCTTTTCCGGTTTGATTGTTCTTAAATTAATGAAGTCGAATGATGACCTGTCTATTGTCTATTATTGACAAATCTGACAATAAAATAACTCTATGAATTTGCGTCTTAGAAGGAATTACAATTTCACTGACACGAATTAACCCAAAATATACCAATGTAGATAGTGCCTGAAAAAATGTAACCTCAAAGTTATTGTACCAAATCGAGGTAAAAGTCAGCAAATAACTTTCAAGGTCACAAAAATGATTCAAATCTTTCAAAGTGATTTTTTTCTTCTCATATACATTTTAAATATAAAGAATAGTATTAAGAGTTTCAATAAGTGCCGTTTTTATTGCTTTTACAATTTTGTATTTACGAAAGTAAAATTTCCGGCACCCAGGCCCCTGGAAAACAAAAAATATGAATTTGAATTTTTTCTTATAGATTGCCGTTTGCATTCTTCTTATAACGTTAAAACAACTTAGAAATTAAGGCCGCTATGCCGCCAACTTCACGCCACCAGATCGCTAGGCCGCAAACTTCACGTCGCCAGCCGCAGGGCTGCCAGGCCGCCAACTTCACGTCTCCAGGTCGCTTGGCCACTAGGCCGCCAACTTCACGCTGCCATTCCGCTTGGCCGCCAGACCGCAAACTTCACGCCGCCAGGCCGCTTTGCCGCTAGGCGCCGACTTAACACATCTTAGAGCTCTGCAACAAAAAATTAATGAGCCGATTGAAAATTGTACTTTTTTAAAAGTTGATTTTTGATGTGACAAAATGTCTATAATTTTTCCTTCCTTGATTTTCTCCAACTGATTTGATTTTTCACAGTCATTTTGTTTGAATCTGGTTTTAAACCTTGGAATACAAGTACTTCTACTGGGCCTTCTGTCTTTTCTTCTGCTAAGGGGACACCTTATTCCGACATTGTATTCTTGAAAATGTCTTTACGTTGAGAACAACTTTCTAAAGTGTTATCATCCGCAAAATCCTTACAAATCGAAATCTGATTGGTTGATTTGTTTTAAACGATAAGCGTTTTAAATATCCCATTTAAAAGGTTAACAATTGCGTCCTAAAAATTGAACCAGGCATACTGCTCCGTCAAAGCTTGTATATTGAACTGCGCATAAAGCCGGGCCAATAAAATCATTTACAGATTCACCTGATGGATATGACAATTAGTTTATTATTCTGAATTCGCCCGGGGTTTTTCTTAGGCACTGAACCTATAGGGGGCACAATTAAATTAGGTAGAGGATGTTTTGAAAATTGGCCGGCAACTCGACGGCGTTGATTTCTTTCTCGATTTGACGTGAAATTAGTTCTGGATTAAGAGTCGTCGATCTTAAATTTCTAGCATCCTTTGGTGTACGAGGCCCAGTATACTGAATGGAGAAAAAACCATTTCAAATTCCCTTAAGTAAGTAGAAATTCTGCTTCCACCTTATCGTAAAATAGTAAATAGTGTTTTTATTAGGCGATTTCGCCATAGATAGAAGGCTGTCCTGACAATTTCTTAAATTTTGTGTGCTTTTATTTCCTAGATTGTCCCCTAGAACATGCCCGTCCCCTAACAACGTCCCCCTTTTTGTCCGAAATGAAGTATCAGCCGAAGTGGATGGCTGATCTACTACCGATTTAGACATTAAACCTTTATAACAGTTGGTAGCCGAATGTGGTGCTGAGTAAGTCGCACAAGTATTCGAAAATGTACACTTAGGCCACGTGCAACTTCCGGCAGTGAAATAGTTACACTTGCACCTATATAGATTTGAAGTACATGTATTACGAATGCTTGGTTTGACCTGTATACAACGTCACCACAAGTCATTATTTATTTTGCACCATGGAGAAGCTGTCGGAGGCGAAACTGTTCGTCATAGGGTTACCAAACTAACCCACCCTGTCGAATAGCACAATCACTAATATTGAACATGTAGTGCAATATCTCGTAAACTTTATCAGCGTGTGTGGACAGGTAAATAGATGGATGAATAATGAATGCATTGTTCCATTTTTCAATGCTAGTTATCTAGTCTATTCATTCCCTCTGTGGGGATTCGAGGTGGTCATCGATACTTAGACGAAAAACCGATCCTTACAAAACACGGACAATTCAACAGACTCCTTCAATAGTAAAGCCAAATTGATGTATTCACCATTACAGATTTTCTGTTTAAGGATCGTGGGCATATGAGCTGATAAATAGTCATCAGCCAGTCTAATTCTGGCCACAGCAGGCAAGTCATTTATAACAACAGAAGTTGGATAATAACTGCGATTATCTAAATGTGAAGAAATAGTACTAGTAGGTAATGTCACGCCACCACACCAAACTATTTAAGAATTACTGTTCGAACTTGCAGGCAAAATATTAAAAGCTTGAATGATATGTTCAAAATCAATAATAGACGACTTACCAGCGTCTGACTGATTCACCCGGGGATCCACACAATCTTCAAGAACGTCAGCATCCCTCTTCTCACCACGGTTTTTTGCTGGCAGGACCCTGGTTCGACCACTGACGTGTCCGAACTCCTGGTCGACTTGTGGATTTTGCCATTTTGCGACCTCGTGGCAATTTCTTACTCGTTAACGTTTTAGCAAATAGCGTATATACGGCTGTTGAAAACAAGTGAGAGAAATAAATGTGTGTGTGTTTGTGTTTGTTAACCCTCGCCACCGGAAAGAAACGTTTCGTTTCGTTTCGTTCAAAGCCTTGATAATGGCCGTGTTGTCACTCCGGTATTTACAGATAAACTCTGGTATTTCCGATTACGGTAAAAACTCTCAAGTAGGGTTACAATAATTTATTTTTATGAAATAGAATCTATACTGAAAAAAAAAAAAAAAAAAAAATCTTTTGGATGATTTGACAAATTCATTTTCAATGTTTGACAACTCTTGTCTGTGGTCTTTGAATTGGTCTTCTTGTATGTCTGACAGCAACAGTTCTGTTGTAAATACACTTATTCCAGTCTTTAGGAATATTTCTTTCTTCAGGTTTTTTCTCTTGATGTCTCGTACAGGGTACAGTCCTCTATAAAATGTGTAACTGTCTCCACTTGTCCACAATTACATAGACTTGTGTTTTTAGCCCCAATCTTGTTCAAATAATCATTGAGACAATATCCACTTTGCAGTTGCAATAACTGTCTTTGGTTGCTCAAGCCATGGAAATTAATTTTTTTGGGTTGGACTTGAGGCTTGAGTCCATAGAGATGCCTTCCAGTTTCAACAATTTCCCACCTTCTCTGCCATTTAATGCGGACTGATTCTCTCGCTGAATGGCGAATGTCACTTTGACTTGTTACAATGAGTGAATCTTCTGTTGCCATTTCCTCAGCTTCTTTTGCTGCTTCTTTTGCAAGTCTGTCAGCAATATCATTCCCTTTTATGCCAGCATGACCAGGAGTCCAATCAAAATAAACAGTAACATCAGCTAATTCAAGCTCTTTCCTCAACTGGAGTATCTCTGTTGACAGGAATTTGTGTGTCTTATTTTCCCATCCAAGATCAATAATTCCAACAGCTGACTGACTATCACTAAGTATTTTTATCTTTTTTATTTCAAATCTTCCAATCTCAGTAAGTAGGGCTTGAAGTGTTATTTTAATGGCAACCAGTTCTCCTACTAAAATTGATGATAATTTTGATACTGGTTGTTTCAGTTCTATAACTTCTGTGTTTGGAAGAAGAATGCATTTGGGCGAGCATATATTTCATTAATAAACTAAATATAGGGGATCTGTTGTTTATTTACTTGAATGTTATATCGGTACATGTGTAACGTGCATACCATATCTCCTATAATAGGGTCGTCTCTACGTACGACCTGTGCCGTGGGAGGAAGATGGGATAACCCCATTCTAAGTTTGAAGGTTCTAAAATTAATAGAAACAAGAGCCCGGTTTGAGCCGGGTGATGCTCCCCGAATAGGTTTTGGACACTGGGAAGTACACCTCTTATAGTTTCAGAGTTATGTCCCTGGAAAAAGTTTAAAATGCAATAATTCCAAAATTAGGCAAGGCAAAGTTACTGTTCTTGTCACTGCACTTCTAACCAATGCTATCGATCAACCTGAAAAAACTCTTGCTGATACCTCTTATGGTTTCCCAGTTATGTCCCGGACAAAGTTCAAAATGTAAAAATGAACAAAGGGCAATAACTACAAAATTTGGCAAGGCGAAGTTCAAGTTCTTAAACACTGCACATCTACCCATTGAAATCCATCTACCTACAAAGTTTCATGTTGATATCTCTTGTAGGTTATTAGTTATTACCAGTACAATATTTTTTAAAAGGGGAGATCATTCAAAAATTTGGCAAAAATGAGCTATGTCTTGTAATGCACTTTTACTCAATCTATCTATCAACAACGTTTCATGTTTATATCTCTTATAATTTTAGATTAATGTCCCGGACAAAGTTCAATAAGTAAAAATAAACAAAGGGCAATAACTTCAAAATTAGACAAGACAGAGTTATAATTATTGTGCACTGCACATCAACCAAATGAAATCTATTCACATACAAAGTTTCATGTTGATATCTCCTACAGTTTCGAGTTATGTCCCGGACAAGATTTTTCTATAAGGTGAGATGGTTCAGAAACTGGGCAAAATAGACTATGCCCTCTACCACTGTATGAAGTTTTAACAAATTATCTCCAGGGGTTTTCAAGTTATGTTCCGGACAAGCCAACGGACGAACGTTCGGACAAGATGGTGACTATATGCTCTCCCTTCCGGGAGCATAATAAGCTAGGCACACGGATTTTTTTTACTTGGGACCATATGCCGCTTTTCATGGAATGGCACTAACGTGTCACATTGAAGGTTCCATGATAACCGCCATATGAACACATCTGCAGACGTTTAAAAATTCTAAATTTGACCAGTTCATGTTAAATGTTGAATTCTGCTTTAGCCGGTGCTAGGGGGCGTGGACGGTAGTTTGCACTTGACAGTACCGTCCATGAACAGGCTCAATCAAACCGAGCCTGTAACATTTTCAATTTTGCCGCGTTGGACTTTCTTTAGGGATTCCTATTTCCTCTTTTCCAAGCCTTATATAGTCGTAAGAAAGCGGCGGGAATTTTACGATCCGTCAAGTAGAACAATATCGAACTACCTAATGGGTTAAGGACGTTAAACAAATACCCTTGCTAGCAGACGATTCCAATAAAAAATAACCCAAATTATTTTAATGCTGTAAATATTTTTATTCATTTAATTTTTAATTTGTATTTTACCAAGTAATTTGGAATCATTCAATATGTGTATATTAATATTCTTTAGTAAATTTATTATTTTGTTTTACATATTACCCTTTATCCAAACTGTAGTTTCAGTTTATTAACTTTAGTTGATGATTTACAACTTCCATTAATTTTCTTCAAGTTATTTGTTAATTTGTAAAATTGATAAACTTATATCAAAACTAAAGAGATTTGAACAAATTATTAGTAAGGTACATTCGTTAACCTAAACACACGTTTAGCGGAGAGTAGTTGAAATAAGTATCACTTTTTTAATATTTCAATGCATTAAATAAAGATTTAACTTAAAGAAAAAGTGTTATCATGAGAATTAGTTGAAGCTATCTACCATATTTTATTTTTGAATGTTGTGTGTATCAAATCAAAACACATATACATGTATTTCGTCAAATGAGACCCGTCTTTCGTATTTATTATGTAATAATACACTGTTGTTTTATTGTATTAACATTATATTTTCTTATTGGGAACAAAAACCAAACCAAATCAAAAGTCAATATAGGTAGTTTCAAATGTGCAATGTAAAAGCATTTACAGACCCTATTTTATTTTGGTAAATGTTGTAAAGATTGTGACAAAAAACAAACTTGTTTGAATTTAAATAATACTGTTATTAATTATGAATATTTATTGTTTAACTTAACTGAGAAAAAAAGTACATGTATTATTTGTGAAGTTGCATTATACATACGAGGGGTTATCCAAAAATTCGTGGACTTTCTTTGTTGCGTAAAATACATTTAAGATATCAATTTGAAATTTTTACACTGTTTAGAAGAATTAATAACAAATAAACACAGAAAAATTCATATGAGCAGCTTCTTACATTACAACAATATTGAATTTTACATAAACACATGTCGGCGACAGCGGCGCACTCCAAAAAGTTATTGACGTCAACGTCATAATATTTACGTACAACTTGTGCTTCAACGTTACGCAGTCAATGACGGTTACTGCTTCTCAAAGTAATATCAATCACTTAATAGTTTTATGCCACTTTAACACTAATGATCGTGAAATTTCCTTTTCTCTGTTCGTCTGCTGATTTTTATCAAATGTTTTTGTAGGTGTTATTTCCAAATTACAACAAAAATTGATGATTGTTTATGATCGTGCGATTTTCTAAATCACCGTGTGTCCGTCATTTACCCGTTGTTAACAATTAAGGCGACTGGCGTTTCTAGCGATATCAGCAAAAATAAACGGATATGACGTCCATTATTTTAAAAAAAATACTAAAATGACATCATAGAAGAAACATGCGATGTTCAGTGGATTTTCTACGTTATTTTTTTTTATTTTTTTAAGCAAGAAATATACGTTGACTTACTACGCTTTTCTACCGTGCGCCGGGTGCCGTGTATGTTCTTATTTAAAATCAATATAAAATCATTATTTATGGACACAATTAACTGTTCTTTTCAAAATGTATTGATAATAGTTTACAATGTATGCTTATAAATTTTCATTACAATACACGTTGACGTTCAAGAGATATTTAAAAAGTCCACGAATTTTTGGATAACCCCTCGTATTTCAGATATTGCTCGTATGGAGTATTTGGTTAAATGTTAGCAACAACCAGGTAGAAGCAGGTAACTAAAGTTACATTAGTCTTCTTTATAACTGATAATAATTTGATATTTATTTTTGTTAACATAATTCAAGTTTAAAATAAAGCAAAAAAGGTGGTGGTAGTGTAAATAAAATGAAATATTTTCCCCATTACAGAGACAGATGAACAATGTAAAGAAAATTGTGCATGTTGTATAGATAAAATATGTGGACCAGGGAAATGGACTTCTACAGATTGTACTCTAGGCTGTATTGATGGTTATAGGGGTCCTCGCTGTTATGAACTATGTATACACAATTGTACAAAATGCCCTTTTGATGCATATACATGTACTGAGTGTTATGATGGCTATTACCCAGGCTCTGCTCGTGACTGCACATCACAATGTTTACCCAGATGTAAAACATGCACGTCAGGAACCGCGTGTACATCATGCAATGAGGGATATAATAATGACAATGGTCGAAATGATTGTAGTAATCGTGACTGTCCCGAAAATTGTAATTGTGAAAATGGTCAATGCGCATCATGTAAGGAAGGATATTACGATACCAGTAATATATGTAATAGTTTATGTCCAGGTAACTGTGTCACGTGTACGTCGGATACTTATTGTGGATTATGTAAGGATGGGTATTATAGAGGTTACCAGTATGACAACAATAACCCCCCTTTGTTGAACGACTGTACGTTCAAATGTCGAGATAACTGTGTACGATGTTCGTCCTTTAACAGTTGCTTGCTTTGTAAAAGTGGTCATTACGGATTGACATGCGGTAACAGTTGTTCAGCTGGTTGTATGTCAAACACTTGCGATATATTAACAGGTAGCTGTAACTGTTCTCCTTATTTTGATAGGGAAAGATGTAACAAATGCAAAACCGGGAATTTTGGAGGTTTGGAAGTTTGTGCGATCAACAATGTCCTCCAGGGTGTAAAGGTAACGTATGTGAAAAAATATCCGGGGATTGTAAAGACGGATGTACTGTAGACACGATAGTTGGAGATAAATGTGATGTCTGTTTAACAGGCTGGTATGAACTTTACTGTAACATGTCTTGTTCTGTTGGCTGTAAAAATCAGCAATGTAAGAGACATGATGGTGAATGTTCCAATGGATGTCTTGATAACTTTGTAGGAGGAAAATGCAATGAATGCATACTTGGAAAATATGAAGCATCATGCAAACGTGACTGTCCAAATAACTGTGACGAGAAAGGCTGCTTAAAAGACTGTGGTAATTGTATTAGCTGCCGTGTCAACTTTTATGGGGAGAAATGTGATAGATGTCGTCCTGGTTTTTATGATTCACTATGCTCTGAGAGATGTTCGTCTTACTGCTTGAACGGTGTTTGCGCAAGAGATACAGGCACCTGCTCTGATGGTTGTTTTGGCAATTATTCTGGTGACAGATGTTGTATAAATAATAACAACTGTATCACATGTTTGTCAGATACTAGTTGTAAACAATGCAAGTATGGATACTTCAATGGCCAATGTGACAAACTATGTCCTCAAAACTGTCTAAAGTCTTGTCATATCGAATCAGGTATTTGTGACGGTTGCAACGGTAACCATTATGGTGATAGTTGCAATTTTACATGTGCCTCTACATGCAAGATTCAAACAACAGGCGGAAGTTTATGTCAGCAAAGTAATGGAAAGTGTCTATATGGATGCGTAGATGGTTTCCATGGTTTACAGTGTTCTTAGAAATGTTCTGTTTATTGCAACGATGCACTCTGTGAGCAAGACGATGGCAAATGTACTAAAGGTTGCAAAATGAAAGTAAAGAATGACAACATTTGCCCTCTGACATCAGGTAAGATTAATTCAAAACAGCCCGTTTTTACATCATATACTCGTTATATTTGCTTTTCAATTTAAGCTATGTTATGTGTTAATATTATTTTATGTCTTCTCTGAAAATTTTGAATGACGATGATGATGATTATGCTGTTGCCATTGCTAAACATGATGTTGTTGATGATGATAATTTTAATAGTATAAATAATTAAAGCATCTGCGACAACAATTATACCCATATTGCACTCTTCTACTTCTAAGCTAAGATAATTGTGCTGTTTCTCGGTTATTTTTTAGACTCAAGTTCCTCAGAGCAGTCAGTAAATAGAGCTGCTATATCCCTTGGAACATTTCTTGCTGTGTCAGTTGTTATTAACATCATACTCGTGGTTACGTTGGTTCTCTGGAAAAATCGGAGAAGGTAAATATTGTAAACAAATTCAATTGAATTATTGTCCAAAAGAGAACTTAAAGAACATGGAAGTTGCAAAATACTGAACAATGTATGAAATATGTAAGAATTCTAAAAAACGTTTCGCCTTTTGAGTTCCACTTTCCATAAAAAAGAAAGAAGTGAAGCTATTATCATGACCCGCTCGTTAGCTTAGTCGTCGGCATCGGCGTTGGCATTGGTTAACCTTTTGTTTAGGTCATTTTTTCTCGGAAACTGTTAACCCTAGTATTTACTTCAAACTTAGTATACATTTTTATTGTCATGGAACACAATTTCAAAAGTCATTTCTAAATTTTATTTTGTAAAGTTATGCCTCTTTTTCATTTTTAGCCCTGATTTTAGCCCTGATTAAACTTTTTGCGACGGTCTTTTTTCTCAGGCACTCTAAAATTGTGTTATACATAAGACAGGGCAGATAATCCCAGAATTGATGATTGCAAAGTTATGCTTCTTTTTGCCGTTTTTTCTAAGGTCACTTTCTGAAAAATTTGTTGCATTTTTAAATTGGAATGTATTTCTAAAGGA